AACTTCAAAACTTAAGAATTCATTTGGAACACAGGGATTTTGTTTTAGTCATATTGTATCAAATTATTTCCTATAAAAGCTCCTGCATTCCTAATAGGAATTCAGTTTTTGGTCGAGAGTTTCAGAAACATTGTGCTTTCAATGTTGTTTTTGGATTTATGACACTGAAACGTTAAACCCATATTCTTGGACAATTTTCACCTTTTTGCAATTTAATTGCTCCAATGATCGATCAAGGTGTAGATTGCTGAATAACGAGGCAACATGTACACTCGTGAGTCAATGATTAGAATCAGATCCGAATTCGAATACAAATAGCCAAATAGCTGAAGTTAGGGTCTGGGTGCTCGGTTTCGCACAGCAGCTAGGGATGAGAAGGGGCGGGCGTACCTGGTGGGTGCTCGTCGCCGGCGACGGGCCCAGCGAAGACCTGGGGGCGGCGGCGGCGGTCGTCCAATCGTCGCCGAGAGAGAGAAAGAGAGCGCACGAGCGGACGAGCGGAACGGGAGAAGAAAGGCGTTTTTTGAGTGGGGCTGTACTGAGCCTGACCTGTCGCTGTCGGTTTTGACTCTTTTGAGCAATAGCCGCCCATAGCTGGCTGATTAAGCGGACCCGCATGTCAGAGTCGTGGCCCCCTGACACACCAGTCCCAAAACCCCACGGTATCGTGAGACCCTAGCTACTGCTGCCGCCGCCGTCGGTGCCCGGCGACGGCGATCCCCATGGGCGCGTCGGCCTCCGTGTTCTCGCTCCCCACGGCCGCCGCGCTCCCCGCAGCCGCTACCGCCGTCGCCGGGGCCGCCGGCTGCTTCGCGCTCGGCTACCTCCTCGCCCTCGCCCGCCATCCGCGCCACGCCGCCGCCCCAGGTTCCGGGGGGCCCTCCGATGACGATTCCGAGGATGACTCGGAAGAAGATGATGGCGAAAACTCCGGCCGCAGCCGCGCCGCCAAGCGGGCGGGCGGGCAGAAGAGGACCGGGCTCCGGCTGCTCTACTGGGCACGGAACGTGGTGACCAAGTCCGACTCCGCCAGGGAGGCGGAGAGGTCCCAGTCTCAGGCCGCCGCCAGCCCCCTGGAGATCGAGAACCTTGCTGAGATAATAGAAGATTTCAAAATGGTACTGCAGATTTAGCTCAGACATCTACCAGTTTGGTGTGTTGGGTGGTGTTTTGGGGCGGGGATAGAACTAAGGGATGCTCAGTTATGTTGGTTGTTTCTTTGGTTGTAGGTGCTGGTCGTGAGGAATGATCTGAAGATGGGGAAGGGGAAGATTGCCGCACAATGCAGGTGAGACCTTGTTCGCTTCACTTAAACCATGATTGAAGATGAGTGTATACTGGGAGAAATGAACATAACATACCTCACTAGTTACCCTGAATGTTTGGCTAGTTTGTATAATGTATACCATGTGGTTTTCAGAAAAATTAAATTGATGGCTATGCCTTTGAACCAAAGAATGCCTGTCTCGTCTTTAGCACAGGAGATTTTAGGATCCATGTCTGTCTGATAGTGCTGTAGCCTTATGAATTATGATGTACTTTGATGGACTTCAAATGAACAGACACTGGATTAGTAATGACCAAACTTTAGAACCTGTACAAATATTGTCGTCTTCAGTGCAGAAGTGAAAATTAGTAGAACAAAAAATTGATCATGTTTGTTTGATATGTGGTGCCAGTGTCTTTGTTCTTTCTATGCTGGCAGTTACTTGTTTTGAATTAAATAGTAGTGTTCCTGCCGTTTGGTGTATTTAGGGTGTAGTAAAGTAATCCATAGAAGTGCATAATATTGTGTGGATTTATTCACTCTACAAATCAGCAGATAGATGAAGATACGGGACTATGTAGTTATATTTAGATAGGTTGGCTGACTCATATAGGTTATATCTGATTCTGTAGTTTGTTTGGCTCAAACACCACAGTTTTTGATATAATAGCCATACCAGCTGCCTCTCCTATCCAATACAAATTTATCAACTGTGTTTGGATGGCAAAATCAGTGCTACCAATCTTGGTTGCTTCACACAGTATGACTTACGGTGCGTCCAAAGTTTTGATAGCTTCGACAAAGCAGAAATGAACCAATATAATTTTTTAGTCAGCAATCTTTGGCCAGACAGCCATGCAACATCTGTTGCCATAGTAAATGTACTGCTAATATCTGTGATGTATTTATCAGTGTTATCAGCCACATTATCCTCACAAATACTGGACCTGCGGGGGTATGACCACCCCCGGGCATTGCATTAAGAAGAAGAAGAAGACCTCACGTCAGGTCCAGAAAACCCCCGAACCCATGCCCCACCCATACATAGCGGCACCGTAGCCTTGTGAGAATGGGGCTGTTCCTTAGATCTGTGCTTTGGCGTGGGACAGACGAGGGGATTTTTTAACCCCAACCTGAAATTCGCTCCCACGGGGAGTCGAACCCAGGACCTGAGGAGTGCCGCTGAGACGCTCTAACCAGTTGGACTAGAGGCCCTTTGGCCCTCGCAAATACCGTCTGGCTTTAACTAAGTCTTAGGGCACATATGATGTTGCATTTACTTGGGCCATGAAACATATGTACATTTTAGCTTTAATGGATTGAATTACCAGGCTAAGAAATTGTTGCTGATCTTTGCCTCCAGCACTTCAGTTGTTACCTTCAGCAGTGAAAGAGTTATCATACTTAATATACTTTTCTGTTTTTTAAATATCAGCATTGATTGAAATGTTGGTTTCCTTTTTTCTGTTTTTTTAGTCATGCAACTCTTGGGCTATTCAAAAAACTCCAACAGAGAGCTCCGAAATCACTAAGAAGGTATTGTTCCAAAACAATTCCTTGTGTTGTTTGAACTTTGAAGGTTCTTCCAAATGTTTGACTTCATATTCCACTGAGATAAGAAAACATTTGCCAAATTTCCTTGGCTCTCTGTTTTCCATGTTTTGCAGGTGGGAGCGGTGTGGGCAAGTTAAAGTGGTTGTGAAAATAGAAAGCGAGGAAGATATGCTTGTTTTACAAGTAAATATTCTTCATTCTTACATGTTGACTATTTTGAATCTCCTTTTCTGAGATCCAAACATGATGAAATGACCTTGAAGAGAAAATAACACTTCATTCTGGAATAGTTCCATAACGTGTTGCATGATGCGACCGTTTTTTATTTTTTAGAGAAATCTTTTTGCTCCAATTTTTTACTGAAGAGAAAAATAAAAGCCTGCTGTAAATTCCTGAAACATGGCAAGGGTTTGACCTATTTCTTTTTGTGGGGAACTCCCCCACGTTTTTTGGTAACAAATGTAGAACTTGCCCTTTAAAAAAAAACAATACTTCTGTTTCTTGCTCAGTGTGTCTAAATTTACCTTTTTTATGCAGGGGAGAGCAAAGTCTTTGAATCTGCCAACTCACATAACCATAGACGCTGGAAGAACACAAATTGCTCCAAGTGAGTTGTTCAAGTTTTGGATTGTAACATTCTCTTTCTTATTATGGTTTTCTGTTGATTTGAATTTTGCCTTGTCTCTAAACTTTATGTAGATTCAAGGACAGTCATGGCTATTCTTGGTAAGCTGCATTCAACTCACATTCCCATGATATATTCAGTGTATTATTGCTTGTTCTGTAACTGATCCTACAGTTCCAATCGGGCAGGGCCAGCTGATATGGTTGATGATGTTACTGGCGGTCTGAAGCTTTTGTAAAAAATCACCTTGTCTGCATTCTCAACTTGGGCCTTTATAGAGCTGTGCTGGAACTTCACAGCCCACAGTGGTCTCCGCACTTGCACTGATGTAGTGATGTGCAGAAGAAGAATGAACCTTGGCCTCGTTGGTTGACCCGATGTCCATGAATTTATTTGAAAGGAGGTTGCATTCTTTTTCACTTGTATCGACTGTTATCTTTGGAGTTGTGATTTTGGCAGCTCCAGTTTGGGTGTTAGAGAACTTAAATGTTGAGAATTTATAGACCATCATTTCTTCTGTAACATAGATAAGAAAAGATTTCACTGTTGTCCCTTTCCTTTTTGATTTTCTTTTTAACTCGCTGTCATGGACCCAATACTGAGTTGCTTTGCAGAAGTCATCTTGATTGTGGATGTGCATCGGAAATTAGAGTTACTAAGGGCCCCTTTGGCACGACTCATTCAAAACGGTTTCACCGGTGAAGCAAAAGTAAGCGGTGAAGCCAGAAAAACTGGCTTTTCTCGGCTTCTAGTTCATTTTAACCCTGACTTACAAAACGGGCTTCACGTTACTGCTTCACGTTACAGTGCCTCGATTTGCGCAAAATAGATGAAACCGAAGCCGGCATAAGTCGTGCCAAAGAGGCCCTAAGATTTCTGACCAGAGAGTGTATTACGCACCCCTGATGGCTTATTGCTAGAATTGACAGCTTACTCAATCTGTTGCACTCTACAGTACTCATGCTGAATCAACCAATGGAAGGAACTCAGGATTCAGGAACAGTGTCAGTGCTCCTGTTCAGGAAACGGATTACTGTGCCATGATCCTATACATATATAATTTAATATATATAAGCTGAGGAGGGGGGATTTTGGATCTTGAGTTCAGCCAAGGTTTAGGGCGTGTTTGCTTCAAACCCTTATTTGGGGTTGGGGTTTGTTCGGATGGATCAGCAGGATAAATACGCAAATTCGAAGGAGCTACTAGTCGTGTAAACCAAATTTGTGCAAACGAGATGCCGAAGCTTGGCATTGCTTCTTCCTTTCTCTGTCTTCTCTCGTCTATTCTGCTATATACCGCACGAGGTTTGGAGGTTGGGAGTAATGCTCAAAAGAAAACGTGCCAAGACAAAATGTAGTGAGATAAATCCGATCAGGCAGTCATAAATAAAGTCAGCAAACAAGCGATTCATCCTGAGCAATTCTGTCTGGATGAAGAAGATAAATCCAATCCAGCAGTCATATATCCTGATCGCTGAAGTCACACTTTCAGACAAGAGAATCATTCCACTTTTTATTGTTTATTATTAACTAATCCGTTCCCGTCCTAGTGGATCAAATGCTCTGCAGCCTGCTGTTGTTGTCACCGAAGATCCTGTTGAGGATTGCAGCGAGCCTGATACCTCCTTGCGCTATTCTCTTGCGAACAACCGGCAGCGCAGAGAAGAAGTAATCATCTGCATTTATTTGCAGTAGTTTCAACCGGATCACATATATTCACATCACGTTTTTACAAAATCATTTGATCTTGTGTTCAGTTCAGAGCCTACCTCCCAAGACGGAGCCTTGCTTGACACCCGCATACGCCACGTCACACGCCAGCTGTGCACTCTCCATAGCGTACCTGCATTCAGATTCAGAGCGGTCGTTAGCCTCATCTGAAGATCAGTAGGCTCATTACTTCCAAACAGAGAGCTTGAGCGACTTGTTGCAGATCTCGAGCTCACTTGTCAGCACAAGTCTTCGTTTTGCTAGGGCACGCCTCCCACTGCTCCTCTTCATCGGACCAATTCTCCTGCAGGATGCACAGATATATAATAACAGCAGCTCAATCTCTAGCTAGCTAGTCCCCAGAACTAACATCAAGGCGAAAACTGAAGTGAATCGAAGCACCGCACGCTATGCATGATCAATGCGGTAGAGCACTTGTACACACAGTGATGTTGAGCATGATGACATTGGTCATGATGCTCAGGTCGTTGCCGTAGTAGTCCTTCATGGCTTTCTCGATGATGTCCTGATCCCACACACGGTGGAGGTTGGTCATGGTTCTGTTGTACCAGTTGACGGCGATGGTGTTGCCGCCGTAGTCCTGGACGCTGCCGCAGTGGAGGGGCTGGTGGATGTCGCCCAGGAAGTGCGCCAGGAACATCAGGCTTACCGTCGGATCAACGCCTGGTGGCAGTGACAGTGCGTGTAACAAGGATTATATATTAGTATTACAGAGTGATAAAAAGACATAGTACAATGAGGGATGGTCTGAGGCATGCTTACTTGGAGCTGATGAGTTCATTAGCGCTGCAGTGTAGTTGTTGATTCCTCCGACCACACACATGTCCTTCTCTCCTTTCATGTTGTGACAGTCCCCTGCTCACAAACATTGTCCATTACACCACAACATGTACAGGTAGTCTTGGATGGATGCCGCTGAGAGGCTATATAGCTTACTGTCGTAGATGAACTGGCAGTCTCCCTGCGTGTCGGCGAAGTGCAGCTCACCGGACCACGGGTACTTGCGCCGCTCATCGTCGGCCCACGAGCACGTCGCCGCCGGCCCACTCCGGCAGGAGCTTCGCCACCGCCGCCGAGGCCTCGCTCGTCAGAAAGTTCTGCATGCAGTTTTCAGCTCATCATCAGAGAAATGAAATCCGGTCAACGGCAAACAAATACTGTAATAAAAAATCACTCAACAGAGCTCGTGTTCTGTTACAGTGTTACCTCGGCGATCTTGCACACCATGTAGTGGCCCTCCTTGCGCCATGCGTGGGCGGCGGTAGGAGCTCTCGCCACCACGGTGAAGAGGATGACTTGAAGGAGGAGGAGCAGCCGCATTTTCGTAGCTTATTGGCTTAGCAGCTACAGAACCTCTCTGCCACTCTCTTCTCTTCAGTGTTGTAAGCTGTAGCCCATGCCAGTGCCTTTATACACAGGCTAATCCATGCCAGCCGCGTTTTGATTCCTCCTGTCCACGATGCCTTTTATGTACGAAAATAAGTATATATACTTCACGTGTGACTGTCGTGGCTAGGGTTTGCACCAATTGACAGCAATATGATAATGCACATATGTAGCTAGGCTAGAGATAAATATGCATATTTTGCTCTCAGCTTTTGTTACTTTATTAAAAAAAAAAGTTTTGCTGACAGAGAGGCGTGCGTAGTACACATGTGCAGCAAATTGTACCCCAGCCCACGCGGGCCACGCCGTTGTGAATTATACTGTATATATAATATATTGAGAACTGCCCCTGTGTCCCTTTCATAAAATTTTACACAGATCTCGATACAAAATTTGCTAATGAACTGTTCTATTAATCATTCCTTTCACCCCCTCGGATCTCATGCCAAAGCGGATAGGGGAACCCGAAGGCAAAAGCTATTAACAAAATCATTATTAATTAAAAATTTATTTTCTTTGAGATCGACGCAACTCTATATATTATATTATTATTACTATTTGGCCAATAGAAGGCTAAAAGTCTTAGAAATTACTACATGAAGAAAATACAATTAAAGGGCCCATTGATAAATATAAATTATCTATCACTACTATTATGCAAAAAAACATTAAAAATCACTATACATAATTACATATTCCACTATTACCCACTTATGTCATTATTAAGAAAAACATGAAGCCCTATACATGTCGTATTTAATGCATTTATATTTAAGGTTGAAGTTGATATAATATATGATAAAATACAAATATATTTCAAAATGACAATTAAAAAAATAAAAACATAGTAAACAAATCAAAGGAGATAAAATCCAGTATAAGAGAATAATGATCTATTTATATTGTGCAAAAATACAATCGACCGCTGTCGGGGACCAAATACTGGGGTACCCAAAGAGGAGGAGCTAATAACCATCAAACGTTGATGCCTCCGAACAGTCAAGAACGCGACTACGCCTCTTGTCCAACGACCGAGGGTTAACTCCGTCCCGTCCGACCCCCAAAGGCTGGCTCCGCCTCGCCCGACGTCCGGGGGCAGACTCCGCCTCACCCGACGTCCGGGGACAGACTCCACCTCGCCCGACGTCTGGGGCAGACTCCCCCTCGTCCGATGTCCGGGGGCAGACTCCGCCTCGCCCGACGTTAGGGGGTTGGCTCCGCCTCGCCCGACCCCCAAAAGCTGGCTCTGCCTCGCCCGACGTCTGGGGGTTGGCTCCGCCTTGCCCGACGTCAGGGGGCAGACTCCGCCTCGCTCGACACCTGGGGGCTGGCTCCGCCTCGTCCGACCCCCAAAGGCTGGCTCCGCTTCGCTCGACGTCTTGGGGCTGGTTCCGCCTCGCCCGACGTCCGGCAGCAGACCCCGCCTCGCTCGACGTCTGGGGGCTGGCTCTGCCTCGCCCGACGTCTGGGGGCAGACTCCGCCTCGCCCGATGTCCAAGGACTGGCTCCGCCTCGCGCCTCACCCAAAGTCTGGGGGCAGACTCTGCCTCGCTCGACGTCCGGGGGCTGGCTTCGCCTCGCCCGATGTCCGGGGGCTGGCTCCGCCTCCCCGACGTCTAGGGGCTAGCTCCGCCTCGCCCGACGACTATGTGCTACTCCTTCATAACTACGCGCGCAGATAAGGCAGGACACTCAAGTCAACCGCAATACCGAGGACCATACCCTGCACGCATGTAGAAAAGTACCGACAGGATATGACAAGACGGACGCTTTAAGGCCCTTTCGGGCATGTCAGAGCCCAAACAGTGTTGTGGGCGCCGACATTTATTTTACAGTGTTGTGGGCGCCGCTATTGGTCCTCGGACGTGGATCCTGACGGAACCATACGACAACCGCTATGGTCCAAGAGAAGACTTGCGTCCTCTACAGTGATGGACATGCAGTCACTGCGCCGTCCGCTCCCCGTAGGGTTGCGGATCGACACCCCGGCCTGTCACGCTGCCCGTCGGGGCGGGATGGGACGTGACCACTTGCTGATCAAACCAGAGCGTGGCATCAGCAACGGACAGATGCTCAGCATGGAGCTATCCCTGGCACCGTCTGCTGTGTCAGCAGGGCTGGCTTAGAGGAAAAGGAAGACCTAGCACCTTCGAAGGACTTCCTTGGCCTCTGGTTTTTCTTCTTTCTCCCATCTGTAATCCCTGCTTCCCCTGGTTTATAAAAGGGAATGCAGGGCACCCCACTAAGGGATCAACCGATCGATTCAACACACATCACACCACATAGCTAAGCAGCATCCAAGTTCTTAGCACCCGTTCGACCTTTCCATCAGAGACTTGGGACATGTCCCTCTCTCGCCCGTTTGTACCCCCTGCTATGAACCTTTCAGTGCAAATAACACAAGCAGCAGCCATGAACTGGATGTAGGGACATTCTGCCTGAATCAGTATAAACCTTGTGTCTTTTTAGCACACCATCCGGGCCTAACGCGCAATAATACAAATTTACTCGTTGGTGTTTACTCGAAACACCGACAGTTGGCGCGCCAGGTGGGGGACCTTTGCGTGTTCCAACGTTAACAACAGGCCACGGATGGCTAGCCATGGAATCAGCTGGGTCCTAGGTGCACACGTGCACTTCGGTGACCTGGACTTCATCGTCACGGTGGGGAGAGAGTTGGCGTTGGCTCACGCCACCATCCAACCTCTCCCCTCCATTGACCTCAACTACGGGAGGCTTGAGCGCCAGCTTGGCGTCTCCCTGGGACCCCAGCCGTCTAGGGAGGACCCACGCCGCCTCACCCTCTCTCCAAAACACCCCGCATGGAGCACCCCGACAGTGTTTCCGTTTGGTCTCCGCAACGCCGCAGCGACCGTTGGCCACCTTGTGGCCCAGCGCATGATCCCGTCCCTCGCGGACAATGACTTCGTGGGGGTGATCGAACACGTCATGGAATCTCTCCACGACCTCCTCTCAGAGGAGCCAGGGATGCCCTCTGGCTCTGACTCCAGCAGGGGGAGCCATCACTCCTCTCGGGAATGCTTCATGATAGGTACCCCCGAGGGACATGTCGAAAGCATCCCCAAGGAGGAGGCTACCCTGGAGAACAACCTCAACAACGAGGCTGAGGGGAAACAATGGCCCCACCCTGCATAAGGGTGGAGCATCTAAAAGCCCGACACCGAGAGATCAAGGAAGCATGACTCCAGCTTGAGCAGGAATACGCAGAGCTCGATCGGGAGATCGAACGCCATGGAGACGGTGGGCACGCACGCGCCATGGCCCATGACATGAACCGAAGGATCATCACCGACGATGAAGCCCTTCCTTGCTTCGCTCGGGCAAGCCAGAACATCGCCGCTGCAGCAGCCCTACTCCATGGTCTTCCAGAATAGGGAGCCAAGGCATCCCACGAGGACACCATGGACCAGCTAGACGAAGCTTGCAACGTCGCCCTCCTTCGCTCGGCCAAGTACCAACAAGCGTTGCAACGATACCACGACCGACGGGTGTGGGGCCGAGCCTTCAACATCAGGGACCTGGTTCTCTGCCTCGTACAGAGCAACAAGGACCACCACAAGCTCTCACCACCATGGGAGGGACCATACATCGTTGCGGAAGTACTCTGGCTAGGCGCCTACAAACTGAAAACCATCGACGGCGAGGTCTTCACCAATGCCTGGAACATTGAGCAGCTATGTCGCTTTTACCCCTAAATAAACACATACTTGCTCTTATCTGTTTCATTATCGAAATCTCCTAACCTTTGTGACATCCGACCCCTGCAATGGCGAGGGGCCGGGTCTTACCCAGGGGCTGATACGAGTACATTTATCCTGTGAACATTCTCTGTGCCTACCCTCATTTCTCACGGTAAATCCTAAGAGCTAGGATTTTGGGAACAAGCTCTGAGTAAAACTGGGCGGACTGCGAGGCACCTACGCCCCAGCGGCTACGACGCCTTTGCTCACCAGCGTGATTAGAGCTAGCTCACCCACACTCCAAGCTTTTATGAACTCAACTATGGGAAGGGTCGGAATGCACTAAACCTCTTTTGCAAAAAGAGGGAGAAGAGCTGAAAAGTTGTTTGCTGTAACGAAATTTGAAAACTTGTCCATTTTTGCACAAATTCGTCGCTTGACTTATCTGCCCAATTAAATTCTTGTGCGAGATACTCTCATCCTCTACTCTCGTAGGAAAATCTTGTCTCAACAGGAAACTCGAGTTGACCGGACGGCTTGGCCACTGTCGAGAAATGGGTCGATCGAACGGCTCAAAACCACCGCTGAGAGATAAGCACCCTTACTTGCTTACATTACATATTAAATTCATCACTGAGCCTCCAACCCCAGCAACGGTAGGGGATCGGGCATCGCTCGGGGCTGGCAAGAGAGTCTACTCGCTAGACATTTTCTCTTTGCCCGACCCCTCCTTACGTTTAAAAATTGGAGGTGCGGTGTGCGGGCATAAACTTTGAGTAAAACTGGGCGAACCGCTAGAACCCTACGCCTCAGAGGCTATGGTATTTTTTTTCACCAGCGTAATCAAAGTCTTTGTCCCCACACCCCAAGCGTTAGCATCGACCTTCTCGAGAAGGGTTTGGAGGGGCCTACTTGCATAATTTCCATCAAGAAGAAGCGGTCAGGTCACCCTAGCTGATCGAACGGCTCAGATCACTGTTGAGAGATAGAAACGGAAAACTGGGACGCTTGTGCAGGTTACACCGGCCCCGTCATGAACGTCGGGCCCGAACCCCACACGGACATATCTGGTAAGAGCTCCCAGAACCCGTCACTCGTACCATCAAGGTAACATTACCAACCTCCACTATTTCTTTATGCTCATTCATTCAATCATCCTATACATCCAAACATCACACATGCGATTGCTGCATCGCAACGCTTCGCATTGTGTCACGAAGTGGTACTCGTCTC